GCATTTGTATGCCAACCTGTCACGTTGCTCGAGTGACGACGATGGTGAGGATGATGATCCTTCAATTTAGTTCTGACACTGCAGCAGTTTGTACTGCTGGTATGGTCGGCCATGGACACAATCCTTTATAAACATTAGACAGATGAACATGTGTTTGCTGCAAGATCTAAAAGTGTATGTACATGTATGTAATGTTCCAGCAAAAGGTGTCATGTTAATAAATAGTCGAAAATATGTTGATATTTTACAGGAAAATTCAGCTGTTTATACTCCACACACTAACAGGACTTTAAAAACGCATGCAGAGCAGTTACTTAGTATAAGAAGCATTATTAAAAAACCCAAAGGGGTAAATGGATACTTAATCAATACTTGAGCTCCTATTTCTAACACCATATTGTGTGTATTTTAACCTGTTTTGGGGCATATTATGGAAAATAAGATTAAGGTATCAGAAAATGGTCAGAAAAAATGGCAACATCAATTTTTTGTAAGTTTAAACATCCCAGAAGATGGTCCAACCAATTGACCAAAATTAACATTTCCTGCCAACGGAAGTACATTGGCCCCCCTACTACAACTTTAACGTGCGTATTCCTCAAATGTTAAGTCTGTTTATCGTTTCGAAAAAATAGTAACGTATCTGGTTATGAAATTGGCGACATGTGCTCCAAAGGCGCTCAAGTAGAATTAATGAGCTAATCTTTTTCGATTTGTCATTGTATATTTAGAGCATACTATGGACTAATAATATAAAAGGGTAATCATTGATATGCACACATGAAAGACAAATGGGAGACTTTTCATGAAACACACCTTGGCTGGGGACAGAGAAAACCGCAACAAATACCACCTCACCCGTCACAATTTCTAAGATTTTTCTTGATTTTGTTACCTTCTTACTACATGGGCTTATGAAACAAAACTGAGCCACGAAGAAAATTAATATAAATCATTATCAAACACACTCCATACTTCTTAGAAACACAAGGGACACAAAAATGGCACATTTGAACACTTTAGCGGAGAATGGCCCTGCAGCTGATCCCAAAGGTACAAGTAACCTTTTGTCTCTTGGCTGTGACCTGTGATCAACCTGCCAGGTGGCCTCGCAGCAGGGCTCTCTTTTCAAGAGATTATCAGAGCCAATGCATTGTCCTTCTGCTGAGCCTCCTGCAAAGACAGTACTTAGAGAAAAACTGGTAAGTTTAACATGGTGAATTGTGTTTTCCTTAACCTTATCCAACGGCATTCTGGAGATTGCATCAGCGTTCTTGTGCTGGGTACCTGGTCTGTAACTAATCTCATTGTCAAAAGCACTCAAAGTTTCTATCCATCTGGCCAGTTGGCCTTGCACATCTTTGAAATTACAGAGCCATCGTAATGAACCATGATCCACTATATTGAATTTCCTTCCGTACAAATAATGCTTATAGTGTTTCACAAAATGCACGACAGCTAAAGGCTCTTTCTTGGTCACACTATAGTTACGCTCACACTATAGTTACGCTCACACTATAGTTATGGTCACTTTTGGACAACTTACAACTTTTGTTACCGATCCTCTTTCCTGTCCTCCTTGAACTTGGGAAAGAACTCCACTAATACCCTGGTCACTAGCATCGTATGAAATATAAATGGTTCTGAAAAATCTGGAAATGCTAGGACATTTGCCGAGATGAGGTTACTCTTTATGTGCTGAAATGCAGTGTCACATTTGGCTGTCCATTTATAACATACATCTTTGTGTGTAAACATGTGGAGTGCAGCTGCAATAATTATGAGCAAAGTCTTTCACAAAACGTCTGTGACAGGAACACAAACCTACGAAACTGCGAACTTTATTCAGATACAGGGCATTTGCGAATCTTCTCGGGGTCTGTTGACACTCCATCACTGGACACCATGTGCCTCAAGTGTAATACTTGTTTCTGAAATAAATGTCACTTTTTGGGCTTCAATTTAAGCCCTGCTGAGGACAATTTGTCAAAAACATCACTCAGCTGAGACGAGTGTTCCTCAAAGGATCGAGCGAAAATCAAGATGTCATCAATAGTATGCTAATAGGTCTTCCACTGTAATCCTGCTAACACAAGTTCTGTTAATCTTTCACATGTACTAGGGGCATTACAGAGCCCGGATGGCATCACATTAAATTCATAAAGACCACTTCCTGTAGTAAAAGCTGTCTTACTCTTATCCTCTGGATTACCCTCTACTTTCCAATAACCACTGGCCAAATCCAATGATGTAAACCACTGTGAGCCAGACAGTTCATCAAGGCTATCATCATTACGGGGAAGAGGATATGCATCTTTGTGAGTTACTTCATTCAATTTCCTATAATCAATACAGAACCTAGTGGATCCATCTTTTTTCTTGACTAAAACAACGGGACTCGCCCATGGACTGTTGGATGGTGAGATTACGCCTTTTTGAACATATCTTCAATCTGTGTTTGTGCTTCAGCCCTGTGATAGTGAGGTAAACGACGAGCATGTTGCCGTTTGGGGCGAGCATCCCCAGTATCCATGCTGTGGTACTCTACATTGGGACGACCTATGCCCTTCCAGTATACAGTTCCTGCTTGAACTGTAAACTGGAAGGGCATAGTCTATATAGTCATCAATGGTCCCTTAGGCTTTCTTGTTCTACTTTGCTGAAGGGCTACCTGAAGTTCCATTACTGTCTGCTTTAAGTGCTCAATCTTGTGTCTAAAGTCATCCTGAATCTGCCTATTTGGTAGTTGAGTTCTCATTGGGCTTACTTTGATATGCATTGGTACCCATTCTCTGTAGAAAATTTGCTTTGTTGTATTCTACCTGAAGAAAGGCCTCTTCTTCTAAAGCTACTGTAAGAGCAGCCCCTAAGTCCTTAGGTTTAGCTCATCGGACCTGCATTCTAACATCAGGTGAGTCTAGTGCCTCTATGAAATAATCTCAACCTAACTCTTCTCGCAAGACAGCAGATACGTCTGGACATGCCTTAGGTACAAGTCTACGAATATCACTTGCCAACTTCACCTTTTCTATGACATCACTTTAAAGTGCGCCCTAAACAGACCTGTCTGTCCCTGTGGTTAAACCTTTCTTTCAAGGCCTTAACAACATCTTCTAAGTACAATTTGCTGGTTTTAGGTAAGTCAATGTAAACCTGTAAGGCTGGGCCCCTTGACCTAACTGCAAGGAACTTAGTTTTTTGTTCCAAGGTCAATCATTTATCTGACTACATAAGTCTAAATTAGTTAACCAATCCTCAAAGTTGGTCTTACCATCACAATTATCAGCTCCTACAACCGGTTTAAAGGGTTTCAATGCAGACACTGATGTACATTTTCTCTACGAATATTAGTACATGTACTTGATAAGGTACAATATGCAGTATCAGGAGAACTATGTATGTACATAATGTGGCGGGGATCTCCCCGGGCCAAACCTAAGTTCGTTGGGACCAAGTCTGACACCTATTAGAGTGTAGCTGATCTTCCCGAACCCAAACTTTCCCAAGATGAGAGACCACTCAGAGCGACCTCAAGGCCTAGGGAGCAGGTCCGTTTGGAGGGAATATACCGCAGATTATGATGATTGTGATTACCCTTTGTTAATTGCACAATAAACTAACAACAAATATACGATCGTAATTTATTATTCAATAATCAAGAAATATGCAGTAGTGATTGAGTCCTAATGAGGTTGCTAATTACAAATGTACCAGGGTCACTCAATTACACTTGGGAGTTAACTGATAGCTCACCTAAGCAGCAACGTGCACAGCTTGAACAATGCACCCAATGTAAACAATGCACTGCTAAGTCAACAATGTACACTAATGTAAACAATGTAAGTTATACACGCCAATGTAAGTAGTGTACGCCAATGTAAATAACACACGCCAATGTAAGTAATGCATGCCAATGTAAGTAATACATGCTGTTCAGCCTGAACCTGATTTACGCTTTACCCATGCAAGCTAGCGTCAGTATCGTAGAGTACATTCACTTCTACGGCTGCGCGTCAGCATCACACAGCGCAACTTCAGCACAGTCAGGGCCAGCAGTGCCTTTACACAGTGCGTGTCAGCATTACCCAAAACACGGAGCGCGAGCAACATACAACCTTACCGCCCGCTGTCCACGACACAACTCCTCCGCGCGATCACACATGCACACGTTGTACAAACACATATGCATACGTTGTACAAACACATATGTCTGCACTTAACCTTTGGGCCTTTGGCAACCAATAACGTATGTGCATTCAGTGACCGGGCTCTAATAAGCCCAGTAACCAACACACAGTGAATTAACACTATTTCAGTATGAATAATGTAGGAAATAAACTGGCTATAAGTCCCTAAACACTTTCCGCTTCAATAACAGGCATGCAACTTTTCCTTGGATCCGCTAATTTCCTCGTTTTTTTAACTTTTCATGAATGCCATTACAAATTGAAAAACACTGTACAAAGTCTTGTGTGGTTTGGAGTTTCCTCTTTGTGTCTTAATTCCCAGATTCATGCCTGACATAAGGCCGAGCATCCTGGGTATGTGTTATAGTTCTGCACCTGGGGGAGGGCGTGTGGCTGGGGACTTTGGCTCCCATTGGCCGAGAAAACCCTGGCCAAGTCAATCTTTCACTTTCAGCTTCAATCGCTGCAATTTCATCCTCTAACATAACAAAAGTATGGCCTAACTGACCTCCTAATATTTCTTTTTTCTTTGAACTCATCTTGGTTCAACTACAAAAAATATGGATGGGTCAGCTAAAAATTTGATCCAAACACAGGATAAGAAATGTTGGTATCAGGAAAATATATTATATAATTAATTATCTGGGCAATCACAAATTGATATCACAGGCCCCAAATATATTTAGCCACAACAAAATATTTACACTATCCGGCATCTTTACATGATGCAAAAGATATTTACATGGCAAAGATCTACAATGTTTTATGAAATCAGTTGTCAGCCTTTATCATTTTAATTTTGTTTATTTACAGGCTGAGAGGGAGGCAGACACTTTGAGGAAGCAGATGGCTGCTTTAAAGGAGCAGCTTGAACAGGTTGAGAATGAATGTGCCAGACTAGATGTAGACTCACCAGACTTTTCTTTAGAAGTAAGTTGGCAGGGAAAAAATACATGATGTCAAGAGGCCGTTGTTCACAAGCTTGATGCATAGCTGTAGCAAGGTCATTTTTATGAAAAGGGCACTTGCACATCCGTGCCGAAATGTTGACAAGTTTTTTTTTCTCTGGACACTTGGCCTCTGTAAAAACAACTTGGGGATGGGAGGGGGGCTGGTACCATCTTCCATTGGGGGAGCTATTCAAATTGGACGATTATACTCACTTTATGACAATAGATCACATTTTCAGGGCAGCACAAGCGCCAAATTAAAAAAGGCACTTGTTTCAGCTGCTAAAGTTACAAAAAGGTACTTATTTTTTTTTAAACAAGGGCACTTAAAAAAAAAAGGCCACTTGTTATATTTACAAAATTTGCCACTTATTTTCACAAAATATTGGGGGGGGGGTCTTTGCCAATGTGGTGTGGGTGCATCTTGTAGATGGCAACAAATTGTATAGTTCAACAGTCTTCACACAATAGTGTGAGTTTTCTGACATCACATGCATTTTTCTAATCTGTGCGGCATTTTTCTAATCTGAGGGAAGTGAACGGCCAGCGGCCGATATACCCACGAATATCTCGCCGCTATCTCGTTTGTCGCCGCACTACCGAGATAGCTTAGGACGGACGAGGGGCAGGGAACGACCTCTGTCGATATACCCAACGAAACGTCCTCTTCTAGCTTACTAGCTCCCCGAGCTAGCTGAAACAGTCAGGGGGAAAGGGAACGACCTCTGTCGATATACCCCCACTGTACTCGTCTCGCTAGGCCCTAGCTCACCGCGAGCTTAGGGGAAACGAACGGAGAACAGGGAACGGCCGAAACCGCTATATTCTTCGAAACGTTTCGCTAGTCCCCTGAACGGCCGAAAGTCTGACTTCCGGAACAGGGGCCCCACGTGTGGGGCGACTAGCAGACCTTGTGGAGAATAACCGCACTTCTCTCCGGGGATATACGACGCACTGTCTCCCCTAAAGGTCTTTACAGATTTCTATGGAGTCATAAACTAAATGCACTGCTTTTTTTTTTTTTTTTTTTTTTTTTTTTTTGACAAAAAAATCTTATTATAAGATAACTGTACAACAGAAATAATAATAATAACTCAGGAAAGCCGACTCGGCTAAAATGGGATTGCACTCGATCCCAAAGGGAGAACCCACGATGCCTACCCGGCACTGGGCTAGCCCCGCGGTGCCGACCTGGCCCGCCGCACGCGGTGTCAGACAAAGGCTGAAAAGCCTGCTACGCCACGTGAAAGAAAAACGAAAGCAAAATGACTCCAAAATCACTCCAAATGAGAACTACTTAACTCAAAACAAACTCTACAGATTCTACACAACTCACTTGGTTGATAAATTCTATAAAACAGAAACTCTTAAAGCGAAAATCGTACAAAAACTCGTCAAAAGGCGAGAGCAAAAATATTTGCTTCTGCACGATGCCGTCGCTAAGAAAAAAGAGGAAGTATAATGGCGGATTCATGACGTAGCATAATGGGTAGGCCCCGAGAGGGCGCTCGGTGGTTGATTAAATCTTTTAGCGTTTGAGCCTGTCGGCTGAATAAATATGCATATGTAGTAGCTATTTGGGTAAGTGAATGAAGTAGACTTGGCAAACACAGGTCTGCTATTACAACCACATTAATCAATGGACACCCAGGTCCAATGTACATGTACATCAATTACCATTTGGCACCCAGGCCAATTATTACTGAATGGGCACCCAGGCCCAAGAGTAATCATGCCAGAACCAAACTATCTGGTCAACATTTTGGGGACAGCCATGGTTGTGCTATGGAAGATACAGCACACCCAAACCCCTGGGTATAAGAGAGAGTGGCTGACCCCTTACAAAGTTCACATCACAGTGTATTATAACACTCGTCAATATCCGTAACAATATCAACTGATGACAATAACCATAACAATAATGATACATGTCCAATCATGTATGTATTAGGAGATGGCTGTCTTCGAATCCTGTTAAAACGCCACTTTAAATGAAAACCTGCAAGAGAAGGCAGGAGCTGGGGTGGTGGTGGGCAAATTGACCCAGCTTGCTCAAAGTGCTGTGACAGAATGACCCACACAGTACATGCAGTACATGTGCATGCATTGTTTCACTGTTGCATATCATTAGGGTTTCAATCTATCTTCTTATTGGTCAAAACTCTTGGCTGTGATTGGTCAAAACTCTTGGCTGTGATTGGTCCAATCTATGAATAATTAGTGCCAGGATCCGGCTCAGGATGCCAACTTTTGCATTAGGATTTGTCCGCTAGTGTTCATAGATAATACTGGAGGCATTAAAGTAAAGTTTTGATAAGATATAAATGTAGGTTTGGGGCTCCAAAGTGTGAGCTCGTTGTGGAGAGTTTAGCGAACATTGTGCGTGTAGTACATGTATAGGCATACACGCGTTCACGTGCAAAATGTGACAGCGTGGTGCGCGCACACGTGATATTCCCATGTAATTGTGTATAACGTTACGTACGTATTTATGTTCATGTATAATTTAACATGGGTCTAAAATGTGGTTAAAAAGGCCGCATCAAAGGCCACCGGCGGTCCCAAGGGTAAGACCCAAAAAGGGACCAATAGTCGCTCGATTACGCCTCCGGTCTCCGGACCATCGGCGTCACCTAGCAACCCGGCGTCGATTTCCCGTGGTTTCACGGGAATTTCTTCGCCTCGTCCCCCCGGTCTGCTGGCTCCAGCAACTCTCGGGGACGACCAGTCACGGAGCGGTAAAAGGATTCAATCCTCACCGGCCCCGTCTGCGCGTTCATCGCGCTCCGAGCATCCTGCTTCCACCCGTGCGGAATGGGCAGGACTCGCGGTGACTGACTTGCCTCCTCCCCCAATTCGGGCCACGGACTCGCAGTCAACATCATTCTTTGATCAATGCTCCGGAATTCCTAGGATATTATCGGAGTTTTCATCCAGTGAATCAAGTCACCCAAGCAAGAAAAGGAAACACAAGGCCGCGCCGTCTTCTTTAGGGGATTCCCCCCGTAAGTCGACGCATCGGAAAAAGAAAAACAAAGGTGTATCCACAGAAATCTTTCTAAAAGCTTTCCAGGACATCAAGGTTTCGCTAGCAGCCCTCACTAAACAACAACAATGGAGATCGGCCCCAATGGTGACTCAGAGGTCACTCCCGGCGGCCACATTTCCGGACCCAAATCCGGGTCTAATCCTGCCGGATCCGGGTGTGATCCGGCCGGATCCGGGTCCAATCCGGCCGAATCCGGGCGCGATCCGGCCGGATCCGGGCTTAATTCAGCCGGATCCGGGCGCAATCCTGCCAAATTCGGGCGGGATGAGAGGGGAACACACTGGGCCCCCAGATCCTGGGGTTGCCATCAGTGTCTGCTCAGATAATCCACCTACTCCAGGCCGCGATTGGGCGCCCCCGAGATCACAGGCGGGAATTTCCTTGCACCCATCTATGAATTTGGGCACTTCTGTTCAAGATGCTCCTGACATAGATGTCGATGATACTCACCCCCCTTCCACTCACTCACAAGATGAGCGCTCTGGGGATGATGAGGCCACTGACCCTGGCAATTTTTCGCCATTTGAGACTCAGCTGAGGCTGGTTCAAAGAGATATGGTTCGGGTACTGCAACTACCAGAGAGCAGTAAACCAGAGACCACCCATCGTTCTTTCAAACGCCGGACTGGCGTGGAGGAACCTCGGGATCCAGCTTTCCCAACTATGCCGGTGGATCGTTTATGCGCCGATCGCATACAACGCATCGCCGATTCAAAGAAATGGACGGCTTTCAACAAAAGGTCGGCAGCCTATTTCCAATTTCCAGAAAAGGACCGAAACGATTTCTTTACGGTTCCTTCTATTCCGGATACGCCCAAGGACAAATTGACTGGAGATAGCGGCAAAGCCCCGACCAAGTCAATATTTGTCGATAAGACTAGAGCAAAGATGGAGGATACAATGAAGAAGGTCGATGAGGCGGCTAGATTTGGCTCACAAACAAGCGCCTTTTTACTTCTGTTATCTGAATATATCGTCTGCGCATGTGAGGAAGATTCACAAATTCCAGCCGATATGTTAGCAGCGGCCTTCCGGTGTCTGGACGAAATACTCCGTTTCTCTCCAATTTACGAGAATCTCTATCCTGTCTGCCAAGTCACGTAGGACTAGCGTGATGGATGCACTTTACATACCACACGAGGGCGCTAAGAAGAAGTTAGAAGACCTTCCTCTTATGGGCAAAGACCTTTTCGGAGGCAAATTCCAGGAAATTCTGGAAGTTGAAGCCAAACGAATTGAGACAGCAGACAAACTGAGCTTGAAGAAGCCTTCAGCCACTAACAAGCCCAAGTTCTCTGGGAAGAAGGCAACGAAGGGTGCTCCCTCGTTACGCCCTGCCCTTAAGAAACCATTCAAGCCTTTTCGCCAACAGACGGCCAAGGCATCAGCTGGTGCAATGGTTTCAGCTCCACGCCCCTACTCTGCCCCTGCACGCCAATTTAGCGGCCGGGGACGTGGCGGTGGGCAATCGGCCCCCTCGCTCTGGGTGGCGGCGGTGACGCCCCTACCGAGCCGACCCCGACACTGGGGCCCGTCGGGGGTCGTCTCAGAAATTTCGTAGGGCCCTGGAGAGAGATCACCTCCGACGCATGGGTGCTTTCTATAGTCAGCCACGGCTATCAACTAGAATTTACAAGCACCCCTCCGTCGGAAATATGTGTTCGCGAAACACCGGTTCCGACAAACACAGACAAACGATTAGCTCTCGAACAAGAGATCTCATCCCTCATCGAGAAGAGAGCGGTCCGCTTGGTGCCACCAATGGAGCAGTTCAAAGGCTTCCTGTCCTTCTTTCTAACACCAAAGAAGGCGGCTGGCGAATGGCGGCCGATAATCAATCTGAAACCGCTCAACAAGTTTGTCAGACCCAAACATTTCCGAATGGAAACTCTCCATGTAGTTCTAGAGTCATTACCCACACCAGCGTGGGGAGCGTCATTAGACCTAAAAGACGCGTACCTACTCGTCCCCATCTTCCAAGAGCACTCCCGATTCCTTCGTTTTCGGTATCAGGGGCTCACTTACGAGTTCACTGCCCTTCCCTTCGGGCTATCAACCTCGCCAAGAGTGTTCACCAGGGTTGTGCGGGCAGTTGCATCACGTCTCCGACGAGAAAACATAATGATTTTTATGTATCTCGACGACTGGCTGATAGTGGGAAAATCAGAAGGCCAGACTGCTCAGAATTTGAGGGATACTTATACGTTGACAACGAGGCTAGGCTTCATCATCAACGAAAAGAAGTCCCACCTAATCCCGTCCCAGGAAATCACTTTCCTGGGAGCAGAGATCGATCTACGCAGGGGCATAGCCTTCCCCACAGGGGAACGTGTTGCCAGCCTGCGGAAGTGCGTCAAACTTTTCCTATCAGTTCAAGTCGCTCCAGCGCGAGCTTGGCTGAAACTTCTAGGGTTCATGGCCAGCTTAGTGGACCTGGTTCCATGGTGCAGACTGAGGATGCGTCCTTTGCAAATGCATCTTCTGGCACATTACAGACCCAAGACAGATCCAATCTCTCTATTGGTCTCCATCGACGAAGTCATGCGGCCACACCTGCGGTGGTGGTTATTGGTGGTTATTGGAACAGAACATTCGGACGGAGCTTCCCCAGAGGGGATCCTCACGTCATAATCTCCACCAACGCCTCCAACGAGGGCTGGAGAGCCTCCCTTCCCCCTCGACAAGCTGCAGGCACTTGGGACGACAACACTCGGTCCCTACATATCAATGTTCTAGAACTCCAGGCTGTAGTCAATGCCCTACATCACTTTCAAGCAGACGTAGTGGGCCGGTCTGTTCTAATCAAGACCGACAACACGACAGTGGTAGCATATATCAACAAACAGGGCGGTACAAGATCACCCCAGCTGTGCTACCGGACTTGGGAAATGTTTCAGTGGCTAATCAGACACAAAGTCGATCTACGTGCCATTCACATTCCTGGTGCGGAAAACGACATAGCGGACTCTCTCTCCAGGGGCAAAGTAGTTCCCACGGAGTGGTCATTGAACAGGAGGATCGTAAGTCAGATCTTCTCGATCCTAGGTCGTCCACACATAGACCTGTTCGCCTCAGCAATCAACACTCAGCTCCCGGTGTTCTGCTCGAGAGCCCATCATCCTCATGCATGGGCCTCGGACGCACTATCAATAGACTGGACAAACATGTTCGCTTACGCCTTCCCTCCGATCTCAATCCTTACAAAGGTCATCGGGAAACTGGAGAGAGACAGGTGCAAGATCCTGCTGATCGCCCCTTTTGGCCGCGTCAGCCCTGGTTTCCGCGACTGGTGAGGCTCCTAGTGGGCTCCCCTCTAATCCTCCCAGATCGTCACGACCTACTCGTTCAACCTCAGTCCCGGTTCCGACACCCATCTCCAGGAGATCTCCACTTAGCGTGCTGGCCACTGTCAAGCGTGCCTACCGAGCAGCAGGTCTTTCTGAAGACGCTGCAGCTCTGGCCGCAAAGGGACGTCGTCTCTCAACACGACGAGTCTATGACAGTCGACTACGACATTATAGTAGGTGGTGCGCAGAACAGGCTGTGGATCCGGTCTGTGCTTCTTTAAGCCATTGTTCAGAATTCCTACTGTCATTGTTCAGAGCCAATTTGTCAGTAGGAACGATACGAAATTATCGATCAGCCATAGCAGCAATTCACAAAGGCTTCGCTGATGGCTCATCTATCTCCTCTAATGTTGCAATCACTAACCTACTCCGGGGAAGGTTCAACGAGAGACCTACAATCCGGAAACTGGTCCCATCCTGGGATCTAGGTCAGGTCCTGAACATTTTGGCCAAGGCTCCATACGAGCCCTTGGGCCAAGCACCCCTCATTCATGTATCTATAAAGTTGGCCTTCCTGCTCGCAGCGGCTACCGCTAGGCGTAGCAGCGAGATCCATGCGTTGACTTTAGATTCAGGACATATCCGCTGGGAACCAGGTGGGGTTCGCCTGATCCCAAAGGCGTCCTTCCCGACGAAAAATCAGACGGCAAGTTTCAGCCCTCCTGATATTTTCCGTAGCGGCGTCCTGGGCATTTTTTAGGGGAGTCCCTATTTCAGAGATTTCTCAAGCAGCATGCTGGAAGTCTGCCACGACATTCACATCCTGCTACTTACGTGATGTACTCCAGACTGGAGGGAACACAGGGAGGACGGTACTGACACAACACCAGTCCTCGTCTACAAACCCTACCCTGCACAGTAGTTCTTCCCGGCCTGACCAGGAGACTAACTAAGCAGGTAATACATTTACATGTATATTCAATCTAAATGGTCTAAATCATTATGTATATATATATATACTGTTGTTTAACCATTTGATTTCAGGGCGTCTCGCCTACCCAGCCACCGGTTGTCGGTGCCACTCTATGCATATGTAGTAGCTATTTGGGTAAGTGAATGAAGTAGACTCCCCCCCCCCCCCCCCACAGAAGTGTGGGACGAGTCTACGAGTGATACTTACCCAAATAGCTTCCCGCCCTCCTCCCCACTCTCGGCTCGTGTTACGATGGTTTTTCACCTTTAGTGCGCGAGAAAAAAGAGGAAGTATAATGGGTAGGCCCCGAGAGGGCGCACGGTGGTTGATTAAATCTTTTAGCGTTTGAGCCTGTCGGCTGAATAAATATGCATATGTAGTAGCTATTTGGGTAAGTATCACTCGTAGACTCGTCCCACACTTCTGTGGGGGGGGGGGGGGGGAGTATAAAGGATTCTGTCAAAATACATGCATCGTGACAAAATCTCATATCAAGTTAATGCACATGTACTTGTATGATTTAATGTAATTCAAGGAGTTCATTCATTGTTTGAATATCAAGTCAATGTACAAGTTCTTATTTAGTAACATGAATCATATAATTATAAGTTCACATATTGTCATTGTGAATCTTGAAATTGTTCATATGATTTTTTGATGGAATGATGACGAATCATATCTGTTCCTCAGTGCAAGTTCGATGATTGTAATGATTATTACAAAATAAACTGACCTTTTTAATGTCAATCGTGTTTAACATTAACACTTTTAAAAAATTTTTAGAATTTAAATTGGGATTGTATCTTATTGCATTTTTGTGTTAATTTCGTCAGTATTAATTGATTTTTTGTTTCTAATGGTTTAACGTTGTATTGTCATCTTAATTCGGCATGTGCCGCTACAGTGATTTTTTTCATAAAATAGTCTATCTATCTAAACCACCCCTTAACGAAATGTTTGAACCCAACTCTGTGGTGCCCTCTTTTGGGAACAATATGCGCTACACGCAACGCTCAGTAGAGGTGTTATAATCTTTTATATAAAAGACCCATGATAATAATTAGCAGTAGAATTGTATGTGATTGCTGGGAATATTCAAGATATGATAGTAATGTATTACTTATGTAATGATTTATTGCATAACAGGCTCCACTCCATTTTTCATTTCAATTGTCATGTTACAGGAAATAAAAGTTATAAGACAACAACACAATGCAAGAGAGAATATTGGGGAGAATAAGGCCAGGCAGGAGGAGGATGCCATGATGGAAGCTTTGAGAGGCCAAGTCAGGACATTACAAGAGAAACTGAAACGACATCAGCCACACCATTTTGTTCAGGTTGGTAGTTATCACCAGAGTATCCTATTAGTGAAATCATCACAAGACAATTATATCACAAGTCAAATCACAAGTAAGGATGATCGAGGAATGATAAAAGACTGCGTTTATCACCTTTCATTTTAATTTTTGTTACTATGCCCCGTGGCGAAGTCAAAGGGGCATACTGTTTCCCCCTTGTCATTCGGTGTGTGTGGGTGAGTTTGTAAACACTGGCAATCGAGGACCAGGGACAAAACAGTTAAGGCACAAACAAAGAGTCCATGATTGGCCGATTGAAATTCGTGTGCAAAACCATTGAGAGCTGTTGCTAAAACGTTAAGAGTACAAAAGGGGTCCATGGTTACTGGTGTTTACAAAGATGGGTGTGCATGTGTATATTTATGGCTTTATGATAGAGGGCAGACACACAAAGGGAGAACACCCAGTCTTGTTCCGTAGTTTTGGGGACATACACTTGTCTAGATACAAGGTTTTTGTAGGGACTGAAAATGCTGTGGGGACAGCACAAAGTCCCCACAACTCGATCCTAATTAACCTAACAATGAAAAACTTCCCCATAACGTAGTGTAGGCCAGGGCAAAAGATCCTTTCAGTCCTTGAGCATTGGGTCTTTTGTTGAAAACGGTCCTTGATGGTACGGTTTTGTGCTGAGTCTATAGACGAATCCAACGGAGACAATTTTGTTACCTTTGTCGTTGGCGGCGCTGTTGCATTTGCCATTCCGAGGGGCCATTTTTAAAAACCGCTAAACGACGGGCTTGTGTACGTGTAAGTCATGTAAGTGGCAACAGTGAACGAACTGGAACCATGCGTATCGAGCTCCAATTTTAGGCTTTTATCGGGATTCTTGAAAACATTATGGCTAAAGAAACAACGAAGAAGAATAACGAAGGATCAGGAAAACACTGTGTCGTCGTTGGCTGCAAAAATACAAGCAAAAAGCTGAGAAAATGGAAGCTTGCAACATGCGAATTGCATGCATCAGAAACGCACGAATATTGTGTGTGTTTACAGCCGTACAAAATGCATCGTTTCCCCAACTGTTCCAACGCCAATTCCGCAGCCAATCGAAAGCAGTGGGTGAGGAATATCAACCGAAAGGACTTCAGACCTTCAAAATACAGCACTGTAAGTTCCTTTTTCAGGGAAGGACCGTGTAATTCATCAGACGGTACTTCAATTCATACTTCATGTTTGGTCATGATTGTTGGAATGGTATCCAGTAATTTGGGACATGGGTTTACGGGTAGGCCTAAATCAGCTTTTAATTTGTGTGGTAGGCCTTGTAGAGGTGCGTCTTTGCCACTCAGTGACAGTGGCTTGAGTTTTAAATTATGTCCCCCATTTTTTATTTATATTACTAATACGGTACTACTAATAGTATGAATATAGCTAGTCCGAGTAACTTGGACCCAACTTATCGCCTTTTTTAACATTTGGACATGGTCTGGCGATAGTAAGGTCCAAGCTAATACCGAGACCTAGACAACACAGTCCCAAAAACCAACATTTTCCAACAAAAAACATCAGATTTCACCTTCAAAAAGGCCTCCAAATTACTAGATATGCCACCTGAGGTACAAGTAGACATCGGTTGTACTGAAGTTTACTTACGATCTGGAAAAAAGTGAAATTTTCTGTTCAATTCTGAAGACCCCCTCTGCCTAGGTTGTCGTTGTTGTGCTCGCGTTCAAAACTGCATGATAATGGCGTCAGACCTCGACCTCATGCAAATGTCTGGACGGCGCGCTTGCGCATAATGCACTGCATGCACGGCAGATTCCCCCGCGCCGACGACTGTTTCCTGATGTAGAGTGCTGTGTAAGTTCGCGGTACGCCTAGGAGTCGCGCTGGCTAGCCAGGCGCATGGCTGGCGCTCTACATCAGGAAACAGTCGTCGGCGCGGCGCAGGGGAATCTGCCATGCATGCAGTGCATTATGCGCAAGCGCGCCGTCCATACATTTGCATGAGGTCGAGGTCAGACGCCATTATCATGCAGTTTTGAACGCGAGCACAACAACGACAACCTAGGCAGAGGGGGTCTTCAGAATTGAACGGAAAATTTCACTTTTTTCCGGATCGTAAGTAAACTTAAGTACAACCATCTTAATCGTCTATGTCTACTTGTACCTCAGGTGACATATCTAATAATTTGGAGGCCGTTTTGAAGGTGAAATCTGATGTTTTTTGTTGGAAAATGTTGGTTTTTGGGACTGTGTTGTCTAGGTCTCGGTATTAGCTTGGACCTTACTATCGCCAGACCATGTCCAAATGTTAAAAAAGGCGATAAATTGGGTCCAAGTTACTCGGACTAGAATATAGCCTGGGAAATTAAGGCCTTTTTGCTAGGATGTAGCCTCAATCCTGCAAAATCCTCCAATTGGCCTCATGGAAAAATAGCATGTAGCCTCAATCCTGCAAATTCCTCCGTTATTTCTTGAATATGGTCCATGGAGGGGTGACCACTGCCTGAATCCTGCAAAATCCTCTGGCTATGACTGTCAATAGGCTGAGGCAGAGGCAGTGACATCCTGGAGCAGTGTGGAGGATGTCAAGTATAATCAAGGACTAAATTTATGCACGGCTGAGCATAAACAACACAAGGTCCGGCCCAAGACCTTGACACAGTGCGTACTCCGAAATCAGCAATGCACTTTTGCCATGTAACCTCAATCCTGCAAATTCCTCCAATTTGCAAAAAGGATTTTGGAGGATTCAGGGCGGTTAGGGTTAATGTATTTAATTGTTTAAAAAAAAAAATGGGGGAGGGGGGCAATCGTGTAGTGTAGGGCCCCTGTTTAGTTTTGATCAAATTAGTGTCATATACTCATAGATGTTTGTTGTTGCTCCAAAATGACGTTTTCAATCAAGAGCGGACTTCTCTCAATTCTAGGTTTTTGTAATTCTGAACTGAGTTTCTTGGGGTAGAAATCACAATTTTTCTGCACGGTTTTCTGCCAGTTGGTGCCTAGCAATTCAGTGCTGTTTGTGTTCACGGTACATCGCGCAGTGATCGCCATCTTTATTTTCGGGTTGCGTGTTGTCACTGCACTGTCATTTTCATTTAACCCCCCAATTTCCCTTCAAAAATTCAAAACATTGCCCTCTATCTATGGAGTACCGGTTTATTCCTATTTCCTAATGTCACAAACTAGTTTGGTCGGTCTAATAATTTTAAAGTGGATTTTTTTCCCTATAGGGAACTGGGTCCATAGATACATGTACACAGTTGCCACTGTTTAATGAAATGCCAGTGTAAAGACAAGTGCAATCAAATTTATTTTTAATGTATGTTTTGCATGTTTGTTGAGTGCTTCGGCCCCGTACAAAAAGGTTTGTGTTGCATGGGTTGCTCCCATCCAAAATATTTTGTCAGAATTTGTCCACAACTTACCATCTGATCTGCTGTCTGTTTGTTTCTTTTTATTTCAGGTATGTTCTGTCCATTTTGAAGAAGGGAAGCCAACATCAGCTCACCCTTACCCAACTGTGGCCATGGGATATATCCCCTATGTAAGTCTAAATCAAGCTAGTCCTGTCAATTAATAGTCAAGTTTTGTTCCCAGTATGGAGTTTGTGTTTGGTTTTCAGAGAAATATTCTTGGAAGCATCTCCCCCCCCCCCCACAACAAATATAAATATTGATAAAGAAACGTTTATTTCTTCTTGTCTAGTACTCCTCCAATTTATACAAATATTCTATTTTACTGGGTACATCTGTAATTACATATAACAAAACACAGCTACCTACTGACCTAGACCCGTGAACGTGTCATCAACAACGCCATGCTCCAGAGTACTGAAGAAACACTCGATGCACATGATTGTACGGGTTACCGGACAGATCCGCTCCTACCATTTTGCACGTGCATGACTCAGAATACCAGCGTTTTGTGTGACCTCGGAAAAATCAAAAGTTGTGCTCGTACAAATGTACCGGTACGTTTCTTGTTGTGTTGAGGTCGTTTTTTTTTTTTTTTCAAATTTCTTGGCAATGTAAGATCCTATGCTCGCATGAAATTACAGAAAGTTTCAAAACTTGGGGCTTGGACTTGGGGTTTGAGGATTCAACAACAAATGTAATGTACAGGTTTACTTTTCTTTTTACAGAAACAGCTCTCAAGAGGAAGGCCTCCCCCTAGGAGAAGAGTTTCCACAGCAACAAAAGCAGTGACAGTGCAAGAAAAGGCTGGAGGGGTTGCAAATATGAGTCCGCATGGTGTTGAGAGAACATCAACATGTGTACAAACACAAGGATTAGAGACGAAGGATGCATCAGTACAGTGGTATGATGCCAGAGTAGCTGACCATACTTATGCACATGTTAATCCTATCACTAAATCCAAGGCAAAAGGTACGCAAACAGTCAAGGCTCCAGAAGTATCAGCAGTTAATCTTCAAGAATCTGATATGAAGTTTTACACCGGACTTAGCGTGCGATCATTCTGGGCGCTTGTGAATGCGCTTGTAGTGACTCTTACTACCACCCCTAAATTTCAACTACCAGTGCCAGACCAACTTTTGCTTGTTTTGATGAGATTAAGAATAGCCCTGATGATCTGGGATCTTGGAGTACGCTTCAAAGTGTCTTGTTCCACAGTCTGTGACATTATCTCCTTCTGGGTACCACGTTTGGCTACATTCATGAGAGAAAATGTCATATTTTGGCCATCACGTGACACGCTTGCCAGGATACGTCCCAAATGTTTTGAGTCTTGTCATCCTAAGGCTACCTGCATCATAGACTGCACTGAAATCTTTGTTCAGAGACCCAAGAACTTGAGAAAACGTGCCCAAACTTATTCTAACTACAAACATCACAATACCTACAAGGCCTTGTACTGCATTGCACCAAATGGTTTTGTGACGTATGTTTCCAAATTATTTGGAGGTCGTGCCAGTGACACTTTCATCTCTCAGAACTCTGGCTTTTTGGACCACTTGCTCCCCGGTGACGAGGTTCTAGCTGACCGTGCCTTCACTATCGAAGATATTCTTCCACACGGTGTGAAGTTATCTATCCCAGCCTTCACAAGAGGACTCAAGGACAGGCGTCTACCAGAGGAAAGTGTGACAGAAACACGACGTATTGCCAACGTAAGAATTCATGTTGAAAGGGCAATCAGACGATTGAAATGTTTCAAAATTTTAGCCAATATCATTCCGATGCGAGTAAAAAATGTAGATGACATATTGATTACATGTGCTGGACTTTGCAATTTACAGCCTTGCCTAATTAATGAGGACAGAGCCCAGGAAACAAGTGATAGTGATTCTAATGACGAGGAGGGAAACGTTTTTTCAGTGGAGGAATAAGTACATTTACATGTATGACTTTGCTGAAATTGATTTTGAATGTGTGTTTCCATCTTCAAAACAAATGACAAGATTTGAAAGTATGAATGTGCTTGACATAAAGATGGTTTGCAGTTGCAGCATGTACATGTGCATGTAGTCTAATTAGTGACTGTGCTATTACATGTAGGTTCTGAAAACAACATGTGTTTTGTTACACAAAGGTTTAGACAGTGTGCTGTCCATTTTCAGGAGTCTGAAGACAGACAAAGCATTCTGTCCAACCCGTCACATAACAAAACATGATCTTTTCAGAACCACACATACATGTACAGTAGTAGTCACAAAAGCGATTAGACTTTATGAACATGGTGCTACTGCAAAGCATAGGCTTTTGTCCTTCCACCGGGCTGCAAACCTTCAACTTCTCAAGTCATACATGTACATGTACAGTGCAAGCATAATTAAACATCATCAGGTTTGTGCTGAAGTATTTTTTTTGTACTTTGGCAAGGGGTATCCCCCAATGTTCTTCCTTGCCACCCCACCAGTTGTCCCCCCTTACTAAATCTCCCAAGTATTAAAGAAAAAAAATTGAAAGGGAAAAGAAAAGAAAAACATTTAGTCAATACATGTATATTTTACTGTACTGTACAGTGAATGTTTATTAAGACAGGACACCCTCACATAAAAATTAAGGGTTTTGAACAGCCCCCCCCCCCCCCCCATTTTACTGTTTATCTGGCGTGTGTTTCGGAGTGTATCGGACACCCGTGTTTGCCACACCCTCCCCCCCCCCCCCGAAAAATATATAATAATAATAAATAATAGTTATAATAAAATAGTAATAGTAATTAAGTAATAATAAAATGATACTTCATTCATTGTTACCTCACACATCCCCCTCAGGTACATGTACCTCAAAAAAATCTACAGATTCCAGTTAACACAATGACCAACACAAATGAAGGGGGACTCCAGGCCTCTACCAGATATCCTGAGTACATTATTACGTGTGTATGTCACTTTCCCCTCAAATTAAGCAGTATGGCACTGTTAAAAATTTGATTTGTAATGCTAGGTTCACACATTCCTCATTTTTAAGCCGAATCGTCACGAATAGCAGTTTTTTAGTAAATCGGGGATGGTTCTTGGCTGCCTCATGATGATATTGTTTGTAAGGTTAAAGATCAGGAAGCACCCTGACAAATTTGAACATTCATAAGATGGAATTTTGCGTCGGGGTGATATAAATCAAATTATGTTTTGCCCTTCACCATGTTTAAACACCGTATACTCAGTGTGTTACCAACTTTTTTCCAACTTTCACTCGGGAGGAAACACACCGAGTATACAGTGTTTAAACGTCGGTGAAGGACAAAACCTAATTTGAAATTTGAACATGTTCAAAATTGTTGGGGTGATTCAGGAGCCAATTTCAATTCCTGATTAATGTTTGTTGTATTTATAACTAATTCGGTAATGTGTGAACCTAGCATAACATTGCTTCGTTCAGAATAGTTCAATATAGAATGTGAAAATGTTGTGTCTTAACAGATTTTTTCTTTAATTGCATACTGAATAGTATATTAACCTCTGCATCAATAGCACACTTTCTCAGTAGCAGTTCAGTTTCACATTCCTCTTCAGTCTCATATACAATGTACATGTAGTACCCAGTTAGCAGTTCAAGCTTTACAGTAGAGCTATAGTTCATATAAACTAGTACTATCCAGGTCAGTTGATCATAATCAATGAATATTAAATATTGTCATGGAATAAAGTCACAGTCAACACAGTCCTCAACTAAACAAGTGTGATGTATCGACTAATCTTTTCCCCCGACACATAATAGTGGTAATTTATTGTTTTCAGTTTTAGCCTCTTACATGCATCTAGATTCTTGGTTTTACAATTTTTAGTTCCCTTGAAATTATTGAATCTGTAAGCTTTGGCAAAAGATGCTTGAAGTAGAATTTTCGCAGTTGACCTAGACGCTGCTCAAACCACTCATTGTCAAAGTTGACATCTGCTATAACGTAGTCTTTCTTTGACCAAACCATAAATTTGCACATGGGTCGCTTCGAACAGTACATGGCAATTTGTACCTGGGTGTAGTAACCACTAGCTGCTGAACTTTGACGAAGGAAGTATTTCCCTTCTCTACTTCGAACATCGTAAGTCCCACTTTCCACTAGTCCTCGAACAGTACCACCATATCGCTCCAACTTCCTCTCAGTGGGACATTTTATTTCTAAAATTGTGTTGTCGTCAACAATTCCATCCAGACTTGCTCCAAGCCAACTTTCCTCTGGGTTTACAACTAAACCTGTGGTTTCTACAAGTGTTTCAAATTGATGTTCAAAGGCTTCCCTTGCAGTAGCTTCGTATGTGTGCCCGTGACAAGTATCCGCATTTCCAAGGAAGTGTGGCCTGATGTGATTCATGATCCACTTTGTTGGGTCTGTCTCTGTTTTCTTGGGGACACTTGCTGCTGAGCTACTTGTAATTCGGAGCTTCCTCTGCGATGTCCACAAAGCCGAGTTCTGATTGTGTGTTTGACAGGCAAGTTTTCTTGCCTCGTGGTCTTTCAACAGGATGTAGTTGTTGAAAATTTCTTGACAAGGCTCGCATTCAAGATTGACATCATGATGTCCATGAACAGGGAGGGGCTGATCACTGTTGGCTGGTTTGCAAGTTTGTGTAGATGTCAGCACCTGATTTAAAATTGTGCCCGGTATGGACGCGAGCTCACACATGTGTGGACTGTTCAGGTGCTTTTTCAGTGCCTCGTCCGTGTCAAATGCAAGAGCACTGTTCATTGTGGACTTTGAGGTTGGATCGCACATGTTTTCAACACTGTCGGGCACCACGTTACCTTGAGTGCTCCGATTCCACAAACAAGGTCTGTCTGTACAGGTGATGCCGATGAAACCTTTCTTGTATGCCTCATTTATCTTGAAGGACAGGCCTGCTGAGTGACTACAACATTTCCCTTCCGAAGCAATGCAGTCGCATTTTACAGACTTGATTGTTCTATTTTCTTTGTCAACACTGATCTCCACTTGATGATAGCTGGAGATTTGCTGTGAAAATCTCACTGTCCCCCTCAAGATGACAGTTGATCCATCCTCATGATGGCGGTGCTTGATGGTGCCCACCCATCCCGAGTTCAGGTAGTTGATACCCTCGCTGATGCTTCGAAAGTTTCGGTTAGGCTGCTCATCACATGCTGGAGCATTAATGAAGTAGTCATAGATATCTGTGAAGAAAATTCAAATAAAATTTTACTTTGAGTGGCACAATGAATGGGAAAGAGGAAAAGCTCAGGGTGACCGTAAGGTCATGACCAAATTCTGCTAAATGCACTTCAAAAATCTGTCAAAATTATTCAAAATCTTCCAGATTTCCCAGATTGCTCGAAATGCGCTATAAACACTTAAAATCACACGCAGATGTTGTAGTATTGCCTTAATTAAGGTTCAAATTACATTACAAACAATCCATTGTCACAAAAAAATGTTACGAAATTGCGTAAATTTCAGGCAAAACGTGGTTGCTTCACGACAAAATCCGGTTCCTAGTGAACCTCCGTACCTAGACCAGCCAATCTGTCCCATCATGCAAGGGTTTGTTTGAAAAGATTGAATCTACTTTAAACAAATGTACCATTTTCTTCAAATTTGCTGTTTTTCTGTCAAATATCCATTTTTGCAGAATTCTGCCAGAAATCTGCCCAAAAAAATAAGTTCTGTCAAATTTTCTGTAAAACTCGTTTCTTTTTTTTACAAAAAATCTGTCAAAGTTAGCCGAAAATCGGCTTAAACAGTCACCCTGGAAAAGCTGCATGCCTGTTTAATCTTTGGCATACATGTTTTCCTTAAAAAATTGTGAAACTAGAATTATACTAGCCCCCAAAAAATATGACAGCAAAAAATTGACACAGTCAGACCATGGATTGAGTCTGCCATTTTGGTTGGTAAAATACTGAGGACCTTTTCTTTGCCCAATGGAATTTTTGGAGAAATTTGCTGACAAAAGAGTGAGTATTAAGTTGGCCTGATCACCCCACTGACACCGGCTTCGATTCCTGAACCCAACAAACCCGTTGAATCCCAAACTGTTTCTACATCTTTCCTGTAATAGGACTAGTAATATTATTAAGCGGCACTGTCCGAATGCCATGAATGCATAAATGCTGTAGGCCTACACTAATTATTTGTTCCCTTTTGATGCAATGAATTTGCCCACAACTTAACACTTTTTTTCATCAACATCAATCACTTTCCTAAAAATGATCTTAGCCTAGTAAAGTTCATCATCGTTTCATGTCAGTGATTACAGTCATCCGATTTCCAAAAGCAAGTTGATGTTTGGCGTTAACGTTAGGCCTAGCCTAAACATGCTAAAACACCACGTAAACAGTGGCTTTTTACCTTGAAATTCAAGCTTTGGCCAGTCACGAACGTCGTCCTTCCACGCATCCATAGGTTTTTTTTGCAGAATTCTTATGCTCAACTATGGGGGAGCCAGGTTGGCGTAGCGGTACTTTCCTCGCCTTCCACCGCTGTGACCAGGGTTAGAATCCCGCCTCGGCCAATATGTGGATTGGGTTTTCAGTCCCTACCTGATTCCATGGGTTTTCCCCAGAATAGCTTCTGGGCTGGGCTTTTCCTCTCACCTCTTTGTCATGTTTGTGAGGGCTCCTTTGGAAAGCAGTTTTTTTTTAAACTGGAATGGACTAGGGGTCCTACCCTCACGTTACAGATTAGGCCTACAACTTACAAGTTAACAACAAATAAAAAATAAATAAATAAACCTCTAAAACTATAGTTTCTTCTCACTGTCTCCTCTCTAAGTTGGTGTGATGTTTCCCCTGGGATGTTTTACCGACTATATTAGATACAGAACTCACAGTCAACCGTGCGTGTTTGTATTTGTTCGCACTTAATAAAAACTAGACTGGAAATTGTCGCTGTACAAAATTGTTTATATTTGGCGCCCGCCGCGATTGCTAAGCGACACTGGCCCCCTACAATGTCCGTGTCGAATGAGGGCGCCCCTCCATGCATAGTCTATCGGATTCGTCTATAGGAGAGTGTTATATTACAGGGGCAAAGGGAAAAACAAAGCATTTTCCTCAGGCGTATAGAAATTCACGACGGTGTGTGCGTGTGTGTGTTATGTTTTGGTTTGGTTAACTTTTGTCAGCACAATAACTTGAGAAATTCTTTACTTGGGAACTTGTATTTGGTTTGTGGATTGTTCTTAATCCCGGTACATACCGTTAGTTCGTTTTACCGTTTTGGATTTCTTCAAAAACAAAAACAGTAAAAGAACCATTGACTGTTTTGTCGTTTTACAGTTTTGTAAAAAGGTCAAACGGTATTAAGTGACCACATTTTTTTACCTTTTTTTAATTGTAAAAAGCGATAAACGGTTAGTTGCTTTATTTTGAGAGTGTTGTTTTACAAAAACATAACAATGACAAAACGGTCAGTCTTGTCAACCATTTTTTTATTCAGGTTCGGCAATTAAGCAATGCACCTTGGAATGTTAATGTGTCCTGGCCTTGGGATCGAGTCAATGCCTGGGACCCAAATTGCCCTCCTTACATTTATGTCGTTCTGCTGGTTTTTTTTTTCAAAGTTATTTGTGTAAAACTGTTAAACAAAAATCATTGATCGTTATGCTGTTATGAATTTTACTAAACTGATAAAACGGAATAACCGTGTTTATCTTCATACCGTTTTACAAAATTGTAAAACGACAAAACAGTCAATGGTTTGTTTACTGTTTTTG